GGGGGGGGGGGGGGGGGACGCGGGAGGACCAATGGGGAAGTTCAGGCCTGGGTGGGTGGAGCCAGTCGCAGAGGGTGGGACTTGCGGAGGAGTTAGACCTGGAGGGGTAGCAGTTTAATTAACGAAATCTTCCTGTCTTTTGTGCCTGTCTCATTGTCACTGTCTCTCTGTCTCCCCGGTGCTTCCGTGTGCCGCACTGTCTCTACCTCACGTTCCCATTCTCTGTTCCTCGTTCTCTCTCCCCGCGGTGTTGCTCTCCACGCCCCCGGCCCCGGCCCCCCATCCTCCGTCTCCGTCTAACGGTCTGTTCCTCTCAACCGGCTTACCCCTTTCTCTGCCCCTCGCTATTTCTTCCCCGCGTCTCCCCATCTCTTTCCCCTCGCTCTGACCCTCCCACCCCCGCGGCTCTCCCCAGCCTTGCGGTGTCCGCCGCACTCGCACTACGAGCTGTGCGGCCCGTGCTGCCCAGTCACGTGCGCGGGCAGAGAGAGCTGCTCCGGCCGCGGCGCCAGCGGCAGCCGCTGCTGTGAAGGCTGCGTGTGCGACGCGGGCTTCGTGCTTAGCGGCGCCGCCTGCGTGCGGGAGGCCAAGTGCGGCTGCTTCCGCGCCGGCCGCTACCGAGCTCTGGAGGCAGTGTGGTACCCCGGGCCCCGCTGCGCGCGCCGCTGCCACTGCGGCCCCGGCGGCGCGGTGACGTGCGCGCCGCGGCCGTGCCGGCGCGGGCGAGTGTGCGGCCTGCGCGGAGGCGAGCGCCAGTGTCTGCCCGAAGGCCGAGGCAGCTGCGCCCTCGCCGGGCCCGCGCACGTGCTCGCCTTCGATGGCCGCGTGCTCACGCTGCCCCTGCCGGCGCCCTCCCGTTCTGAGCGCTGCCTCCACGTGCTGGCCCGCACTGCAAGCCAGGGGCCCTGTCCCTTCAGCCTAGACGTGGCCCGCGATGGGGCCGGGCTGCTCAGCCTGCACCTCAACCTCTCCGGGCACCACCTGCAGCTAGACCGCACCCTTATCGGCGTCATCACGGTAGGCGTCCACTGGACTGCGCCCACGCCCCGCCCTCTCCCTCCTGGAAGCGCCTCAGTTTCCCCCACCATGTGTAAAAACAATGGGCGTGTCTGCCCCTCAAGCCTTAAGAGATGGTGCAAGTATGTGACAAGGTAGAAAAGCATTGCCTGGAACACAGTAATGGCTCACTAAAGCGTCACTGTTAGGTTTGCATTATCACCTCCTACCCAGGATTGGAGAAAATCAGTCATTCAGGATTATTTCAGTAAATTGTATGGAGAGTCTCTCTGTGGTGCAGGAAAGCCCTGGAGGATTTGATGGGGAGCAAGTCCTGGGAGAGCTCACGTTCCTCCAGGGAAACAGATGATAAGTAAATAAATAAGTAAAATAAGTAGTACATCTGATGATGGGTATAAGAACTATGAAAAAAAATAAAACCAGGAAGAGAGAGAGTGTAAGAACAGAGTAAAGAGGTTTCGCACTTAAATAAGGTGATGAGGAAGACCCCACCGAGAAAGTAGCATTTGAGTCAAGATCTGAAGGAGGTGAGGGAGGGGTCCATGTGGACATCTGGGAAGGGGCAAACCAGGCAGAGAGAACGCAAAGTGCAAAGTTCAGGGAAATGGCATGGGAGCAGGCTCAGCCTTCACAGCCCCAATCCTCACCCCTTTCCTCCTCCGCAGGTGGATGGTGAGCACTGCCAGCTGCCCTGGGTATTGGCAGAGGGCAGGGCCTGGGCCACATTGGAGGGCCGCCATGTGGTGGTGTACACGGCCTGTGGGCTACATCTCATGTATGACTGGGGCAGCCAGGTGCGCCTAACTGTGCCTTCCACCTTCCACGGCCAGCTGGTGGGGATCTGTGGGGCCTTTGGTGGCAAAGTTGGCCCCCTTGACCTGCCTCTAGACAAAAGATCCTGGCCCAAGGGCCTGGTCACTAACCCCTGCCCGCTGCCCCAGCCCAACCTTGACTTTAGCATCAGCTGCCCCACGCAACTTGCCGAGATCGTCAATGCTTCCAAACTGTGTAGACTTCTACAGGCACCAGATGGTCCCTTTGGCCGCTGCCTGGGCCATATCAGCCCCAGGCCTTTCCTCAGGATATGCCTGCAAGACATATGTCATACCCATGGCCAGCACCTTGGTCTCTGTGATGCCCTCACTGCCTTTACTGCAGCCTGTCAGGAAGCTGGCATCCCTGTGAAGCTCTGGAGGGGCCCCAAGCTTTGCCGTGAGTGCTCTGGCTGGGTCTGGAATGTATCTGGGGCAGGCTGCAGGCAGCAGGAAGAGCCCATCCTGATGGGGATCAGAGAAGCCTGGACATAGATGGAATTGGCTAAGTAGAGTGTGGGGCGAGGGGGAGGGCATCCAAGAGAAAGAGAACTGTAATTGCAAAGGTGTGAAGGTTGGAAAATATCAATGGGAAGCTAGCCTGACCAGAGCAGGAGGCAACAGGATTGGAGAGGGAAACTTGAATCCTAAGCACGGGCCTTTGCCATCCACCTGCAGCCATGGCTTGTCCACCCCGAAGCCACTACAGCATCTGCGCACGGACCTGTGATGGAGGCTGTGTCCAGCCTACCAGCCCTGCACACTGTTCTACCCAATGCTATGAGGGCTGCCAGTGTGACCCTGGACTCATTTTTGATGGCACACACTGTGTGTCTCAGGACCACTGCGGCTGCTTTCACAGTGGACGCTACATCCCTGTAAGAGAGGTCCCTAGGCATGGGCGGGTGGGTGCGGAGTTTCCCATATCTCGTCATAAGATGTTCCCTGGACCACACTGTATCAGTCAGCATTTGCAGTTGTAAATGACAGAAAATGATGCCAAGTATCTTAAATACAACAAGGATATATCTACCTTTAATTGTTTAAATTTGAGGCCTTCGGGCATGGCTGGATTCAGGGGCTCAAATGATGTCACTAGGACTCAAGTTTCTTTGCTTTTCATCCCTGCCTTTTCCTTTTTCTATGTTAGCTTCTATATGAAGTAGGCTCTAGGTCCAAATGCTGTAACGGAGGCTCAAAATTGCAGTGACTTAAACTCGATAGAAGCTTATTTCTCTCTCATGAGCAGTCCAAGAATAACCAGTTTGGTTCCTTCAAGTCAGGGACACAGACTCCTTCTATCATGTGGTTCTGCCTCCCCTGTAGTATTGCAGTCATCTGCTCCCGACCACATCTACGTTCATGCAAGTTGGCCGGGAAAAAAGAGGGGACAGGGAGGTCAGGCCTCCTCTCTTTGAGGGCATAACCCAGAAGTAGGACATACCACTTCTGTTCACATCCCATTGGCCAGAACTTCACAGAAGGGCCCCATCTGGCTGCAGAGGCGGCTGGAAGACATGTCTTGCGCTGGGTGGTCCTGAGTGCAGCTATAAATACTAATTCTGGGGAAGAAATGGAGAATGGATATTTGAAGACATGCATAGCCTCATTCTCCAGCCACATCTGTATGTAGGGCATGGTTGTCTCCTCCTGCTCCAAGCTTATGATGTACATTTAGCCATCTCAGTGGAGAGACAGGCTTCTCTCTCAATAGTTACAGCAGAAGTCCCAGTGCTGACTCCTATTGTCCCAGTGTAGGTCATTTGCCTGTCCCTAAGCCAGTCACAGAAGCCGGGAGATGGGGTACTCTGATCTGTCTCTGACTGGCCAGGCCTGGGGCATGTGCCTAGAGCTGAAGCCAGAGAGTAGGTATACCACCTAGGAAACCCCACAGACTGAGAGTGGGGCCAGTTCCCCAAAGCAAATGGAAGGCTGTTCCCAAAAGCCCGTGGATGGGCCCTCAGGAGGCAAAGCACTCCCTTCAAGGTTTTGCGCTCTTGGGAGTCCATTCAGAAGTAAAGAAAGGACCCCCAGGATGGCTGACATAGTTGTCTTGGAGATTAGGGGCCACTGGATAGGAAAAAACAATGTTGAAACCCCAGACCACCCTGGAAATGAAGAGATGCCCACACCGGGAGGAACAGGGCATAAGAGCTGATACCTCCGCCATTGCTTGTCCACTCCACACGAGCACTGACACTAGCCCCGCATCAGAATTTGCAGAGAGCTCTTAAGGCTTTTCACACACCAATGAAAAGCAGGAGGGTTGTCCTGGATTAAAAGAGACTAAAAGATCACAATAGTCAAGTGCAGTATGCAAAACTTGATTAGATCCTAATTCAAAAAATATCGTTAATAGATATTTGGAGAGACAACTGGGAAACGCATCAAACTTTTTTATTTTTGCCCATCTCATAGAGAAAAAAATATCGGATTTTTTACTTGTGTTTGTCTTATTAGGAAGTTGAGCATTTTTTCAAATGCCTAAGAAACATTTGTATTTGTATTTCCTTTTCAGCCTCTGCCTGTGTTTTTATACTGACTCATTGGTCTTTTCTTTATATATAAGGGAACTTAGTCCTTCGTGATATATGTTTTATACATATGCTTTGTTGATATTCATAATGGTTTTTTGAATCCAATTTTGAGTCTGTCTGTCTCTGCAGGTTGGGGAGGCACTGGTCCTACCTGGCTGCCAGGAACGCTGTATGTGCTTGCATGGTCAAGGCCTCCAGTGCCAGCCCTTTTCCTGCCCACAGGGCACAGGCTGCATCCTGGATGGGGGTGTGCGGTGCTGTGAGGCTGGGGAGGGTGCTACATGCCGCCTAGAGCCAGAGGGCCTCTTCATCACCTTTGATGGCTTCAGTGGGCTCACACCCATGCCTGTTACATCCTGTGCCTATGAGCTAGCCACATTGGTGGGTTCCAAGCCTGAGGATCCTGACTGGTTCCATGTCATTGCTGACTTCCTGCCCTGTCCTGGCTGCACTGCTCACAAACCACGAGTGATCATCGGCTTCAGGGATGGCTGTGCAGCTGTGGGAACCAATCAGGAAATATGGGTAAGGGACTTCCTCAATTCTAGCCAAGACTCTTTCGTAACCTGGAACTGATCCCTGGGGACTTTTGATCCCTCATTGGCCTTCCGTAGCCTTCTAACATAGGACTGTCCCATCACCCTGATCACACGTTGACCTTCATTGGCTAAATGTCCTTGTCCTGATGTCCCATGACCCATTAGACCCCACATAAACTTCACCTTGGACTTCTCAGGACCCACTGACTCCACCTTGACTCAGGTCCAGCTGAACTCCTGGGACCTACTGACTGAGTGATCAGAGCTCTAATGGGGGGAGCCCAGGCAGAGTGATCAGGGCTGGAATGGGGAAAGCACAGGGAAACAGTGGAAGCCCAGAGGAGGTACCCTCAGTTTAGGAGACCAGTGAAGACTTTCTGGAGAAGGTGACAGATGAGCTGGGACCTGATGTTAGGCTGGGGAAGAGAGCAGGGAGGAGTGTTGCAGAACAAGGCCAGGGAAAAGGAGGGACCATATTTGGGGAGTAGTGACAAAAATCAACTATTGAGTTTAAAATAGCCCAGTAAATGTCCGTGGACTTAGGGCCAAGGAGGTTGTTAGCGACTTAAGAAATCACAGCAGGGAGGGCGCCTGGGTGGCTCAGTTGGTTAAGCTGCTGCCTTCGGCTCAGGTCATGATCCCGGGGTCCTGGGATCGAGCCCCGCGTCGGGCTCCCTGCTCAGCATGGAGTCTGCTTCTCCCTCTGCCCCTCACCCCGCTCGTGCTCGCTTGCTCTCTCAAGTAAATAAAATATTTTAATAATAATAAAAAAGAAATCACAGCAGGGGGATGCCTGGGTAGCTCAGTCAGTTAAGCATCTGCCTTCAGCTCAGGTCATGATCCCAGGGTCCTGGGATGGAGTCCCACATCAGGCTCCCCGGGGAGCCTGCTTCTCCCTCTCTCTCTGCCTCTCTCTCTGTCTCTCATGAATAAATAAATAAAATCTTAAAAAAAAAAAAAAAAAAGGAATCACAACAGGGGGGAAGCTCCTGGATTGCAGGTTTGAGGAATAGCAGGAGTAGACACCTCTCTTGACAAGTTGCAAACTCCCCTTGTCAAACAGACGAGAATAGAGCTCAGCTGGGAAGAGGCAGAGGGCAAGGGTATCTTAGGACTAACTTACAATTAGGATTTTATGATGGGAGACACTCAGGGATGTTCAAGTGCTGATGGGAAGAAGCCAGACAAACACAGGTTGGAAATCCAGCAGAGAGAGATGCCAGGGTAGAGGGCACCTGCCTCTCCTAAGGAACATGGAAGCAGGGGAGCAGCTGAATTGGAATCTGGGCAGGCAAACTGGATGGTATTTATAAGAGGAAAACAAGCCTGAAACCCCATGCTGAGAAACAATACAGCTGTGTGGTGGAGACTAATTGTAAGAGTGGGTGGATGGTCCAGCAAGAGAACAGCTGGGGTATCTGCCACAAGCTGGCAGATAAGCTAAGCCAGAGCCTTTGGTTAAAGGGTCAAGAGACCCTGACTGTGTGTCTCCTAAACTTCTATTGTAACTATGGGCAAGTCAGTGACTCAACCTCTCTATACCTCAGTTTGCTCTACCACAAAAAGTGGTGATAAGAATAGTACTCACCACCTAGGGTAGCTGTGAAGATTCCTGCAAAGTGCGTGGCATATACTAAGGGCTCAGTAAGTAGAAGCTGTGACTGCTCTTTGGGGCACCTGGCAGGCTCAGTCAGGAGAGCTTGAAACTCTTGATCTTGGGGTCATGAGTTCGAGCCCCACGTTGGGTGTAGAGATTACTTAAAAGTAAATAAACTTAAAAAAACTTTTTTTAAAGCTGTGATTGCTCTTGCAACCACTTTTATATTATTAATGGAGAGACAGTACATAGAGCAGAATGGTTAAGAACACAGGTCCTGAAATCAGACCCCTTTGGTTCAAAACTGGCTCTGCCACTTACCAGCTATGTGAACCTGGGCAAGCTGTGTTATTTCTCTGGGCCTCAGGTTCTTTCTTTTTCTTTTTCTTTCTTTCTTTCTTTCTTTCTCTTTTTCTTTCTTTTCTTTCTTCTTTCTTTTCTTCCTTCCTTCTTTCTCTTTCTTTCTGATTTTATTTATTTATTTGAGAGAGAGAGCATGAGAGGGGGGAGGGTCCGAGGGAGAAGCAGACTCCCTGCTGAGCAGTGAGCCCGATGTGGGACTTGATCCTGGGACTCCAGGATCATGACCTGAGCCAAAAGCAGTCACTCAACCAACTGAGCCACCCAGGTGCCCCCTGGGCCTCAGTTTCCTAATCAGTAAAAGGCAAGAGGCACATAGGCATATAGTACTGATCTACCTTGTCAGAGTGTTAGTGAGGATTTAATATCACTTAAATACTTCAATATCATTAATGACATAAAATAAGTTAGGTGACAATATATTAAAATATCAATTGCATCATATACTGCAAAATACTGTCATACATTATCTTATAACCAAATATTAGAGCACTTGGACTAGTGCCTGGCACAGAGTGTGTGTAAACAGTTATTAGATTACGAAGACACAGGTGAGAGAGATGCGACAGGTTCCAAAGGCGTTTTGTTCTCTAAAGCTCCCTTTTAGGAAAGAGTTTATCATGGAAAATTTCAAGCATCACAAGAGAGTGGTGTTATGAAACGCTGTTACAGTTACAAATATTTTGCCTTTCATGCTTTCATCTTTTCTTCCAACTCTTTTTGCTCTGTTCGTGCTGGAGGATTTTAAAGCAAATCCCAGACCTTATTCCTCTAGCGAAGATCTGCGTATGCGTTTCTGATAAGAGACACGCGGCAGGATTCACAGTGGCTTCTGAGCCGCACGGTGGTATTCAAACCCTAATCTCCTCCCCTGGCCCGCCTCCTCGATCTGCAGGTGAACGGACAACCCGCGCGGCTCCCAGCCCAAGTATGCAGGGGCGTGGTCGCACGCTGGGCGGAGGGCTCCCGGGTTGTCATCGAGCGGTCCCCCACGCTGCGGGTACTGGTGGGGCCCGAGGGGGCCGTGGCCCTGCGGGCCTCCCCCGCGCTCCGAGGACGCCTCCGAGCAGCCTGCGGAGACTACAATGGAATTGCAGCCGACGACCTGATACTCCCAGGAGGACTCCGGGGTGCCAGCCTAACCGACGTGTTCCAGGCGTGCCGAGCTCGGGGCTTCAGCAACTGGTGAGGACCTTCCTTTCTCCTCCCGCGGTACTTGACTCACACCGGCAGAGGGCGCGATCAACGCAACTCTCTGCGCCCCAGGCTGCCTTTGGGCACTTGGGAGCTCACAGCCCGTCTCTGTCTTCCCGCAGCACGGAGAAGCTTGTCATGCCAGCCGTGACACAAAACTTCACCGCCTGACGCCGTCCCTCTGTGTGTCCCCATGGCTGGGACCTCCCGACGCACACCTGCCTTGGGGATGGGAACCCACGGACCTCCCCGAGATTGTTTTAATAAATAACTTCTGACGAAACCTGCTTGTGCCTGTATCTTCTTCCCAATGCCCCTGCGCCCCGGGAGACACAAAGGCCCCTCTAGTTCCCCCGTCTCCCAGGACCCCAAGAGTTAGGCCGGGATCCTGTCCCCTTCAGACCCAAAATCTGAGTGGGAGCGCCTGGGCCTCCGCCTCCTCCGTGTTCCCAGACCTGCAGTACCCTCTTCAAGGACACAGATTCCTTGTGGGGCAGGCCCCCTGTGAGCCAGCAGCACCGCCCCTGAGCCGCAACGTTGTGACGTAACTGCATCGACAGCCAATGGGACAACGAAGCAGGAGGCGGAAGTTTTGGAGTGCGCGGGCCGGAAGCGTCCGTTGCCCTGCACAGCCGCTTCTCCCGAAGGTTCCGCGGCGCCACTGTCCGTGGGGCATTGCCAGCGAGCGCCCGCGGCCCAGCTGCTACCATGAGCCGGCCGAGCCGGCTGCAGAGGCAAGTTTTGAGCTTGTACCGCGAGCTGCTGCGCGCCGGGCGCGGGAAGCCGGGCGCCGAGGCGCGGGTGCGGGCCGAGTTCCGGCAGCACGCCTGCTTGCCACGCTCCGACGTGCTGCGTATCGAGTACCTGTACCGCCGCGGGCGGCGCCAGCTGCAGCTGCTGCGCTCCGGCCACGCCACCGCCATGGGTGCCTTCGTGCGCCCGCGGGGTCCAACCGAGGAGTCCAGCGGCACGGGGGCTCCAGGGACCCAGCCTGACAGTGGTGCTCGTCCGAGGAACCCCCTCGGCATCATGGAGTCACCAGAGACCCCTCCCGATGGGCGATGACAGGCCGAGGAGCTCACCCGGTAGCACAGGGGAACCGAGGGCCCGCCTGACTGCGTGGGGAAACCGGGGAACCCGCCTGATGGAGGGTGAGATGTCCTGAGAAGACATGTCCTGAGAAGACCAGCTGTCTGGATTGGGGGAATCGGAGGCCCTCCTAGCGACGTGGAGTCCTAGAGACCCCTATGATGGATGCTGAGATATGCTCGACCTTGGCCCAATCCATGATGACGGGTCTACTCTCCCCATGAGGCTTTGGGACGGCTTGGTTGCTGGCTGGCTGAACTGTGACCAGCTGAGAGCTACTGACCGGAAAGGTTGGGGAGGCAGGACGCCCGCCGTCGGACAGAAAGAAGAGACACCCTTCTCTTGACCCTGGGCTTCCCTCTCTCGTATTTAACTCTGAGAAGAGCAGACTTTTTGCAGAGAAGTTTGGGAAGATACCCTGATGGATGGTGAGAAGCCCCGAATCCCCCTTTGGAAAACTTCGCATTAGTTGGGGCATACTAGGACCTGGGAAGAAGGGGCTGGGGTATCTTACCCCATCTGATCAACTAAAGACCCCTCAAGACCTATACTTGATAATTCTAAGGGGGAACCCTGACTCCTGCACCCTTCTCCCAGGACTGTTGAACAAAAGGAATAAAATCGGGGATGTGATTACTTCCCTTTTGGTGGTCTTAAAGATTTCACATGTTTGGGGATTTTTGAAAGTGCCCTCGCACCAAGAAGTGACCTTCTGGGAGGGATAGAGAAGAGCTGTCTCTTCCGTGCTGGAGCCCTCTAAACTAGCAGATTGGTTGAAAGCAGCCTAGTTCTTGCTCCTGGGCAGATCCTTGGGACCCACCCTAATTTGACCCCAAAGAAACCCTAGTTGACTCCTTCATGGAAGGTAGTGAGGTGGGAGAGAAAATGGTGGAGCTGAGGCGGCCTGGGTGGTAACCCCTGAGGCAGTACTGGGGACCTCAAACGTGGCTAAAGAGTCCAACCTCAGCTACAAGCGAGGATTTTTGTCAGCAAGGCCCAGGCATACCTCCTCCCATATTCCTGTATTGATCTTCCCTAGACATTCTCTGGGGTACTGCATTTTGCAGCACTAAATTCTATTTGCGCCCATGTCGGTTACATAAGTGGAAAGCAGATGAATTCTTAGCAAATGCCGTTGGGAAGAGGAGGAGAGCCTTAGGAAAGGAACTCAGACTTCTGACCAAAGAGAGGACAGGCAGAAGAGAAACATGACTCTGCTCTAATCCCCATGGGGGACACAGGTGCACAAAGAGTTATAAAGTGGAGTTGATATATGAAGAATTATAAGGAGTTTCCCAGATGGTAGAGTTAGACTTCTAAGCAGGGGGACCAGTGTGGGCAAAGGTCCGGAGGGGACAAAGGGGAGAAATGCAGGATTCCAGCTGGGGCCTGGATTGCCCCAGAGCACAGGCTGTTGTGGCTTGCACACATGGCTTCTACTTCAGTTGTCTCGGCTTGCTCATCTCTCTTCAGCCTCAGTTTTGTTTTGTTTTCATCAGGGTGTTTCTGTTAATCCTGGCCTGACTCCATCTCAATAAAAGCCAAAGTCTTGAAACTGGCTAATGGCCCTGTAGCACTCACCTCTCCCTCTTGCTCACTCCTGGCTCCAAGAATTTGAGTCCTAAGAAGCTCCAGGATGGGAGTTTCTGGCAGAGCTGTAGGCAGTGAGCAACTTCCCACTGGGGCTGGGTGACCTGGGTCAGGAGGGGAGACATTCCATCCAGGTATTACAGATGAATATAGAGTTTGTGTGGTAGAGAGAATGAGGGAGGGGAGGGCCTGATCTGAGGGAGGAGGTTGTAGGTCATTGGTAATTAAGAGCATGGACTCTAGACCTGCAGTGCCTGGTTTCGGATCCTAACTCCAACATTTACTAATTATATGATCATGGACCTGTGATTTAATCTCTTTGTTCCTCAATATCCTTGTCTGTGAAATGGGCATCATAATAGGGCCTCCCTCATATGGCTGTTAGGATACAATGGATTAAATATGTGGTGTGGCACCAAATGGTGCCCCAACTCCATAACCCTCTTGCCTACTTGGGTCCATTTGGAGCTGAAGAAGAGGGTTTCCAGGAGACAGCCAGCTTCCTGCCCTGAGCAACTGTCCCAAGGGGCCAAGCCAGGGACCAGGTGGCGTGAGGTGATCTAGTGGGGCCTTGGGGACGTCTGGGAAACTCACAGTACCTGATGAGGAACCACTAGCCACACCAGCAAGTTCCACCACTCTTTTTTTTTTTTTTTAAGATTTTATTTTTAAGTAATCCCTACACCCAACGTGGGGCTCAAACTTAAAACCCCAAAATCAAGAGTCACATGCTCTACCGACTGAGCCAGCCAGCTGCTCCATGTTACCACACTCTTGCTCAGCCCCCTCCCTCAGACAGCATTGGACAATCCTGGATATGAATGATGTGGAGGAATGACTAGGATTTTCTTGACAGCATAAAAGTAGTGTGATTCGATTTTCAAACAATCCTGATCTGGAGATGTTCCAGGAATTGCTCATGAGTAAAAGGATATGATGTCTAGGATTGGCTTCAGAGTAATCTAGGGAGAGGGGAGTGGGTGCCTGGGAGGATTAAACAGGATTGGCTCTGAACTGATAATGACTGGAGCTGGTGATGAGTCCACGAAGACTTGTAATGCTGTCCCTTCTTCTGTACAAGTTCTCAAAGTATCCGAATTGAAGTTGGGAAAACAAAACAAACTCTGTTGGTCCCCAGCCTAACTCAGAAGTCCTCCCTGTGGGCCGCAAGGCCTCACCTGATCTGGCCCCATCACCTCTCTCACCTCACCTCCTACTTTCTCCCTCCAGCACTCATGCTCCAGCTACATTGGCCTTCCCCCCTTGCCAGGCACACTTCTACCTCCGGGGCCTTTGCACTTTTTCCCTCAACCTGGAACACTCTTCCTCCAGGTCTGCACTGTCCAGTATAACAGGGAGCAACCTGAGATTTGAGTATTTGAAATGTGATTGAGGGCCACCTGGCTGGCTCAGTTGGAAGATGCGACTCTTGATCTTGGGGTCATGAGTTCAAGCCCCATGTCTGGTGTAGAGATAAATAAACTTTTAAAAAATGTGATTTGGGGGCGCCTGGGTGGCTCAGTTGGTTAAGAGACTGCCTTCAGCTCAGGTCATGATCCCGGAGTCCCGGGATCGAGTCCCGCATCGGGCTCCCTGCTCAGCGGGGAGTCTGCTTCCCTCTCTGACCCTACCCCCTCGTGGGCTCTCTCTCTCTCTCACTCTCTCTCTCTCTCAAATAAATAAATAAAATCTTTAAAATAAATAAATAAATAAAAATGTGATTTGGGACTGAGGAATTAAATTTTTATAGGGGCGCCTGGGTGGCTCAGTCGTTAAGCATCTGCCTTCGGCTCAGGTCATGATCCCGGGGTCCTGGGATTGAGCCCCGCATCGGGCTCCCTGCTCAGCAGGAAGCCTGCTTCTCCCTCTCCCACTCCCCCTGCTTGTGTTCCCTCTTTTGCTGTGTCTCTCTCTGTCAAGTGAATAAATGGAGTCTTAAAAAAAACAAACAAACTTATAAATGTTTTTTAAAGATTTGAGAGAGAGAGTGAGCGGGAGAGACGGGGAGAGAGAATCTGAAGCAGACTCTGCGCTCAGCACAGAGCCCAACCTGGGGTCAATCAATCCCACAACCCCAAGATCATGACCTGAGCCGAAACCAAGAGACGAGTGCTCAACCGACTGAGCCACCCAGGAGCCCCAAAAATTTTATAAATTTTAAGTAATTTAAAATTTTTAAAAAGATTTTATTTACTTATATGACAGAGAAAGACACAGCGAGAGAGGGGACACAAGCAGGGGGAGTGGGAGGGGGAGAAGCAGGCTTCCCACGGAGCAGGGAGCCCAATGTGAGACTCCATCCCAGGACCCTGGGACCATGACCTGAGCCAAAGGCAAACTCTTAACAACTGAGCTACCCCGGTGCCCCCGTAATTTAAATTTTAAAACAAGCAGTGTAAAATGTTTTTTTCCATTAAACACAACTTTGTTGTTTTGGTAGGATTACATTTCATTTTATCTGTTGAAAATTGTCCGAATTGAGATGTGCTCTAAAGTATAAAATACACACCAGGGGCGCCTGGGTGGCACAGTCGGTTAAGCGCCCGACTCACGGTTTCAGCTCAGGTCATGATCTCAGGGTCGTGAGACTGAGGCTGTGTGGGGCT